TTCCACGCGTACAGTAGACACATTTTGTCGTACAGTTCCTAATTTATACTATTAAAATCAAGCAGAAATATAAAAATCCTTGATATATATCGACATATATAGGTGAGTGCAGGGACACCGCTTATAGTAATACTACCTTATAATCTTTCAAAATTGAAATATGGATAAGTGTAAGCGCCGTTCCTCAAGTATATAACAACTAAAGGCTTTCAATGTTAATACGAGTTTGTCTTGGGAGGGAACCTTTTCAGGTGTCAAACTCCGTTTCAATGATCTTATGTCAGTTGATAGAGGAAAGTGTACTAGTTAAAGCCCTGAAAGGATTAGTCCCCATGGTACTTCTTTCAAGAGTTATGAATTTTTTTTGTTTCGCTGAGAAAACAGCTACGAAAACACACTAAAACATTTTTGTATTTCGATAAAACCTGCGAATTTTGCGCTGAAATTCTTTCCTATGACTATTCTAATACTCGACTAACATCATTGAGAGAATCAGCATGTCAGCCTTTCTAGAAAATAATGTATTGAATTTTCCTTGTTTTTAAAGAAAACCATGTTTTTCCAATAATTCATTTTTCTTGTGTTATGATTAATTATATGTGGTCCTGTTAATGTTTCTTGATGGACAGGCTATCTTTTCTCTCTCTGTCCTCGCTCTCTATAATTTATTTAATTGGTTTGTTTCTTTGATGTACTTGGTTCCCTATGTGAATAACAGTTATTCCATCCTTGGAAGGGTTTGGTAAGGTTGTTAGCCGGTTTTTTTGTATCTGTTTTCCCTACACAGAGAACAAAAACTCGTGAAACTCATGACGGTTTGTATACACGGTTTCTCGCAGTCACTTTGGCACATTTTTTTTCTCAATTTTAGTTGTTCATGCTTTTGTTTCCTATGGTTCCTATATGATAGTTTTGCTTTAACGGTTTTAAACCTATTAGAAAAACCGTCCAGGTACGACTGTGCAAGTAAAACCGTCCACTCTGAAAGAAAACAAAAAAAGAACAGCGGAATTCCAGGAATCGAACCTGAGACACTTGGTGAGTATGAATTATGAGACCAAGACACAAACCACTGAACTGAGGAACTTACAGAAGTATGTCTTTGCACAGCATACTCATCATGTTCTCGGGTAGACTTCTGTAAAAGCTTCAGCACCTTACGAAAAGCTGTCGCTGTTGAATTTAAAAAGCTCCTCGCTATCGTACATGTATTTGAGACATAAAAGAGAAACGCTAACTGTATAGATGTGCACATATATCATACGATACCATCGAGTGTATTCTATGACGAATGTCTAGAAACTTATGGTTAGGAGAAGATATTCACTGTACCCTTTCTCTCTACCTTCTAAGACTACAAGCATCAGAACAATTTCAAGATAATCCCAGTTTCAAAGAAAAGAATCTGTAAAACGAGAAAGTTCACAAAACAGGCATATTTTGCAGAAACATGCGCTGGAAGACGTCTTCCCCTCCTCCCTGTCCCAAGTGCCAGTTTTACTCACTTATCTACCCGGCTATGCTCTTTACTGAATAATCCTGAGCGTGAGATAGATTTTTCGAGAAGCTCAAGGCTCACTCTATTAAACTTATGTTAGTTGATTAGGAAGACTTTCTGACATGCTAGCGACTGAAACTGCATATATTTTAATGAATTTTGAAGCTTCGACAAAACCGTCAACTAAAAAGCATGAAAGTGCTTTCACGGTTTTCCTCTCCACGTTTTTGTTTTCATTGTTTTCCTTTGACAAACTGTCAGTTTATGATTTTATTTCTACAGTTTTGACCTTTACGACATTTTTTCATTGTTTTAATTGTACAGTTCTGAAACTGACGGTTTTATTTTACGGTTTTTCTTCGACGGTTCGAAAGTAGACAGTTTTTTTTCTATGGTTTTAACCTTGACGATTTTACTTGCATAGTTTTTCTTTTATATTTTTGCATTTTACGGTTTTCATAATGTAGTTTTTTAATTCGTGGTTCTTCTACACGGGTTTTTTTCGATGGTTATGGATTTTACGGTTTTTCTTACGGTTTTTTTTCCACCGTGTATGAAACAAAAAGATTCATAACTTTTGAAAGGAATACCAGAGGGACAAAGTCTTTTAGGGTTTTATCTAGGACACTTTCCACTATCAACTAGCTTAAGATCATTGAAAACGAAGTTTGAGGAAGGTTCTCTCGTTAAACGTTAAATTATGTCAAAAATTACTAACAAATTTATAATAATCCTGTTGAAAGAATTCCGACAACTTCGTCTAACTGACCTTCAAAAATTATAGTATTTGATAGCTCAGCCTTTTGCTAATAAGGATTTTCAACAGTCCTGATCCGTTATTACATATTGGTCCGAATTATGTGATATCGGAACTTTTAGAAAAGAAAACGTTCGCAGAAACGAAATCATGTAAAAACCTTTTTCAACGTTCAAATTTGAAAGGTCATAAAAAACTGAAGATTGTGTGCTATTCTATTTTACATTCTTATAAAAGACTTTGAACTTTAAAATTACAATATAAAATTTATAACGGGATTTTAAACCAAATTTTTGATGTTTTTCCTCATACTTCGTGTTTTTTTTTGGATGGCCTAACAATTTTTTCTGGAAAAAGGGCAGAAGCCTGTTGCTTTTATAATAGCGTAAAACATTTCCTCATCGTGGAATAAGCCACCCGCTTTTCACGGCTTTCCAGACAGTATTTCTAATGTCAAGGGGTCCCAGGACACTTTTTTCATTATCATATATATATGAACCTGTAGTGCGAGAAATTCTCTATCGAATGGTATATCTATCGTCGTGGATAGTGGACAAGTGTGGAGGACAGGATCGTCAGGGTGGAATAAGTCACCCACTTTTCACGGCTTTCCAGATCGTATTTCTAATGTGAAGGGATCCCAGGACACTTTTTTCACTATCCTACATATATGAACTTGTAGCGCGGGAAATTGTCTATCGAATGGTATATCTATCGTCATGGATAGTGGACAAGTGTGGAGGAGAGGATCTTCATCGTTGAATATGCCACCCACTTTTCGCGGCTTTCCAGATAGTATTTCTAATGTCAAGATGTCCCAGGACAGTTTTTCACTGTCATATATATATGAACTTGTAGCGCGGGAAATTCTCTATCGAATGGTATATCTATCGTCGTGGTTAGTGGACAAGTGTGGAGCAGAGGGTCGTCCTCGTTGATCAAAGAAGAGTAGAAGTTTGGTTACAGTAAATTCGACCCAGTTTTTTCTGAGAGCAACTCTAAGGTCTGTCGGGTGGCTAGAAATGTTCTCCTGTTCATTCTGCATTTAACCGTGTATGTGTCGATGGAAGTCAAGCAGGGGCCGGTTCCATCAAATAATCGCCCCCGTCCTTTAGTGGAGATAAATTAGCTGGTGATTTATCGATTGAAAAGTCTTTTTTGTCATTGGAAGTACTTTGGCGTAATTCAGTGGTTTGTTATCATCATACAACAGTTGATACACAAAATTTAATAAGAAAATCTCATTATGATTTTATTGCAGCTGGTTTTCCATTTGAAATAATTGATGGCGATAATTTTCATTTTCAACAACAATTTTTAACAGAGATTTTGAATGAATTTCATTCTCGACGAATATTGGTTATTAGTATTATTGGTCCACAAAACAGTGATAAAAGTACATTATTAAGCTACATGTTTGGAACATTGTTTGGTGTTAGAGAAGGACGTTGCACACGAGGGATTTATGGTTCATTAGTCAAAATAAATAAATTGAATCAAATGATTCAGAATATTTTTAAAAAAAATTTACATGATGAAAACGCAGACATTGATTATATTATGTTAATCGATATTGAAGGTTTATTATCGATTGAAAAGGGTGATAAAGAATACGATCGACGTTTAGTTTTATTTTGTTTAGCAATATCACATTTAGTCATCGTCAATATGATGGGTGATATTAATGAAACATTAAAAGATATGTTAACATTATGTGCAGATTCATTAAAACAAATTGGTGTTAATACTACGAATCAACCTATCGTTCATTTCGTTTTGAATCAAAAAGCTGATCCAAATATAGAAAATCATATGGAAGCTATTAAAAAAATAATCGGAGATTTAAAAGAAAACAAATTAGCTGAAGTTATTGATATTAGTTTAAGGACGTTTCATACGTTGC